AAAACTTAGGGGCTTAAAACAATAGCTATTTCCCCATGTTCTCTGTAGGTCAGAAATTTGAGGAGGCCTCAGCTGGATGGTGTTAGCTTAGAAAGTCGTGTGTTGCAGTCAGACAGTGGCTGGAGATGGAACAGTAGAGGGCTGCAGATGGAACAGTAGAGGGCTGGAGGAGCTGGAGGCTGGCCAGGAATCTCTCTTCTCTATCTGTAATCTCAGGGTCCCAGAGTCTCCATGCAGTCAGACTGCTCACGTGGAGGCTCAGGACTCCGGCTTGAGAATTTCAGCCAGCAAGTACAAGTTACTTCACCTTTTCTGGCCTCGCCTCAGAAGTCCCACTATTTCACTTCTCTCACTTCTGCCATTCTCTTGGTTAAAAACAAGTCACAAACCCATACGAATTCAAGGGAAGGGTATACCTCTCAGTGGAAGGAATGGCAAGGTCATATAATACAATAACATGAGATTGGAGATGCTGTCACAGGCATCTTTGGAAAATACACAGCATGTGGCAGAGCCAGGATTTGGATTAAATACATCTGCCTCCAAAATATTTGCTGCAACCTTTTAGCTCAATTCACAGGAAGCTCTGCTTTTCTCTGTGCCCTATATCTCTTCCTGGCACACACAACCACAATTTGGTTTCCTCCAGCCAATGGGAGACTGGCTGGGTGAAAGCTGGGTGAGACTGCCTCTAGCGTCTGCTGCTCAGAGAGGTCATGCCCAATGCCAGCTTGTGAACTTTTTAAAGAAGAGGACAGAGAAAGTCGGTCACATCTAGAGGAAGAAAGCAGGTGGCAGCCTGAGCCCAGCAAGCCTGCAGTACATTTCACTGTCATAAACAACTTGTCTGGTGTTTTCCCTTCTCCCAGCAGGCACTGGCCTGAGATGACTCAGGCATTGACAGAAAAGGTGCCTTCAAATCAGGAAATGGGCCAGGAGAGTGGATAACTCATGGTTCTGGAGTCAAACCTGCCTGGGATTGAGTCCTGACAGTGACATTACCAGTTATATGGCCTTGGGCAAATTCCTTAACCTCTCATAGCAAACAGGAGATAAAATAGTCTTCATTACTGGATTGTTTTGAAAATTAAAATGCTCTTGTAGGCAAAGCACCCAGTGCAGTGCCTGACACATAGTAGAGGCTCTGTAAATGTTAGGTTTCATGTCCTAGGCCATGTCCAACCCCAGCTTGGGGACTTTTTTTTTTCTGAGATGGAGTTTCACTCTTGTTGCCCAGGGTAGGGTGCAATGGCATGATCTCGGCTCCCTACAATGTCTGCCTCTTGGGAACGTCTTGAAGAAGGTACTGAGAACTCACTTGCCTATTTCTCAAACACTTGTTCATCTCCATGGTCCTGGATGGAGTAATGGCCCCGAAGACCTGGCCCAGCCCCAGACAGCACTGAAGAAAGGCCTGGAGCAACTGCCCAACAATCCTGCAAATGCAAGCAACTGCATCTTTTCTTCCCACTCCACTTTGTCCTTTCTACTGCGACCTACCAAGACCTCTCCCACCAAATACTCCCCTTACACAGGCCCTGGCACACTACAGCCTCCCAAATATGCTTGTTGAATGAATGGCTGAATAGATTAATGGATGGATGGTAAATCTTCTCTGCACTGTTGCTCACTCTGTGTCTTCTCCCCGAAATGCCCCATCAGTTGCCCTGCCTTTATAGCCCAGCTGAGAATGGTCTTTCTCCACTGATCCTCTCAGAGAAATCTCAGGTTCCTCCTTCTCTACATATTACCCTGCATGCCCCCATCACCTGCTCATGAGTCAGGGTTGTGAGTCTTCTTTCTCAGTAGGTGGAGGGTGCTCAAACACATATTAGGCAAGAGAGACACAGAAGTGAACATGGAATGGTGCAGGTGCTGGAGAGATAGTTTGGGAAGGCAGAAAAACACATGCAGTCAGGGTACTCATTTTCAATCCCAGCTCTTCATCAGGTGCCCAACCTTTGGGGAAATCACTTATCTTCTCTGAACAGTGGAAATAATATACCTATTTCATTGGGTTATTGTGAGAATTGAATGAGTCAATATACATAAGGTACTTAAAAGACTGCCAGCACCAAAGTCTTCATGACTAAAACACCAAAAGCAATGGCAACAAGAGCCAAAATTGACAAATGGGATTTAATTAAACTAAAGAGCTTCTGCACAGCAAAAGAAACTATCACCAGAGTGAACAGCCAACTTACAGAATGGGAGAAACTTTTTGCAATCTATTTATCTGACAAAGGGCTAATATTCAGAATCTACAAGGAACTTGAACAAATGTACAAGAAAGAAACAAACAACCCCATCAAAAATTGGCCAAAGGATCTGAACAGACAATTCTCCAAAGAAGACATTTATGTGGCCAACAAACATATGAAAAAAAGCTCATCATTATTGTTCATTAGAGAAATACAAATCAAAACCACACTATAAAAACATGCACATGTGTGTTTATTGCAGCACTACTCACAATAGCAAAGATTTGGAACCAACCCAAATGTCCATTAATGAGAGACTAGATAAAGAAAACATGGCACATATACACCATGAAATACTATGCAGCCATAAAGAAGGATGAGTTCATGTCCTTTGCAGGGACATGGATGAAGCTGGAAGCCATTATTCTCAGCAAACTAACACACAAATAGAAAACCAAATGCCACATGTTCTAACTCATAAGTTGGGTTCAACTATGTGTGAGAAAACATGGACACAGGGAGGAGAACATCATACACTGGGGCCCGTGGGAAGGTGAGAGGCTCGGGGGGATAGTATTAGGAGAAATACCTAATGTAGATGACGGGTTGATGGGTACAGCAAACCACCATGGCATGTGCATACCTAAGTAACAAACATAAACATTCTGCACATGTACTCCAGAACTTACAGTAAAAAAAAAAAAAAAAAGCTTGCCCAGCACATATTAAACATTATGTAAGTATTAGCTATAATTTATTTATTTATTTTTATTCTTTTTGGAGACAGTTTTGCTCTTGTTGCCCAGGCTGGAGTGCAATGGTGTAATCTTGGCTCACTACAACCTCTGCCTTCCAGATTCAAGTGATTTCTCTGCCTCAGCCTCCTGAGTAGCTGGGACTACAGGCATGCACCACCACACCTGGCTAATTTTGTATTTTTAGTAGAGATGGGGTTTCGCTATGTTGGCCAGGCTGGTCTCAAACTTCTTATCTCAGGTGATCCACCTGCCTTGGCCTCCCAAATTGCTGGGATTATAGGCATAAGCCACTGTGCCCAGCCAGCTGTTAGTATTTATTAATTCAACAAATATATATTTCATACTTATTGTCAGATGTGTATGTGGGTGTTTAGGTGATGAATAAAAAAGATATGGCCTCTACCTCATAGAGCTTGCAGGCTGGAAGGGGCTGCTGGAAAGAAGAGATAGGCAAAATACAGTATGATTAGTGTTCTGGTTGGTAAAGGCCAGGAAGAAGAGGTTGTGGGAAGACCTAGGAGAGCCCCCTATCCCAGCAAGGGCAGCCAAGGAAGACTTATCCAGTAGAGTGACAACTGAATTGAGTTCTGGAGGCTCAGAAGGAGTGGGTCCTGGAAGGCATGTGAAGGGAGGAAGAGTGGTCTAGAAAAATGGCATGTAGGGCACAGGCCTGTAGGCAGAAGCCCAGTGTTTCTGGAATGTGAAGGGCAAGGGGAGTAGGTGGGAGGTAACAAGCATAATGCTGAGTAAATAATCAGGGACTTGACTATGAACAGCGCTGTAAATCATGCGCAGAGATTTGGACTTTGAAGGCAACTCAGAGCCACTGAGGAGGTTTACTCAGCTGAGGGACACAGAGCTGGACTGCAGAATCCCCGCTGCTGCACTGCAGAAAATGGACCAGAGCGGGGCAATTCTGGGGCAGGGAAGCCAGTTAGGACAGGATGACAGCAATCTAGGAGAAAGATAATACTGGCTTACTCTAGGCAGGTGGAAAGAAGTGAAAACATTCAAGAGATGGGAGGTATCTTGGAGAAGGGTTAGAGACAGCGTGGATGTTCAGAGCTAAGTGAAGAGGGAGAAGGAACAGCTAAGGATTAAGCTGAGTAAACACATAATTCCCATACTGTGAGGTAAGTGGTAAGTGCTTTGAATGAAGCCAGTTCGGGACTCATGAGAGTGTGGGGCAAGGACACCAATCACAGTTCTGGGATGAGAGGACAAGAATACCCTGGAGGGCTCTAATAAAGAAATATCACTTCATTAGACAAGTGAGGAGTGTAAACTAGCCAAGGAAAAGGCAGGATGGGGTACAGAGGTACTTCAGCAGAGGAAACAGCACATATGAAGCGCTGAGATGCACAGAGAAGATCTTCTGTTGTTGAATAGATGACTGTCGTACTAATTTGCATTAAGGTGTTAATGGTCAATATGGAATTGGCCCTTCCCCCAAAATCTGTACTTTACCAGCAGCAAGTCTTTACCAGAAAGATTAATTATTGGTGGAATTTCAAGGTGCAGTGGGGACACTATTCAGGGTCATGGGGTTTTACCATTGTGCCTGAGGTTACTGAAGTGGATAACTGAGCCCTACCGGTCAAGGAGGCCCCAGTCTATATACAACAAAGGTCTCTTGCCCTCGGGGTTTTTGCTTATCTGACTCCATCCTGATCAACCTGAGACCAGATGGGGCAGCCCAGTCATTTCCAAAGGGCTGCAGTATACTCTAAAAGCTATGAGCACAGGCTTTGGGGTAAGACTCCCTAGACTCATATCCTGGCTCCTCCTCTTCCCAGTTCTGTGACCTTAGGCAAATTACTTCACTTCTGTGCACCTCAGTTTTCTTATCTATAAAATGAGGATAATAATAGTAATTACCACTTAAGGTTTTTCAAGGATCGAAATACAGAATACATACAAAAAGCTTAGGATTATGAGTGGTGTAACCATTTTTATTACTGATACTATTTTTATTAGTAGTCCTCTTTTCACTCTGTCTCAATCTCTTTTCAAAGTTGCTCCTTAACCCACACACCTGCAGATATGAAGCTGGGGCGGAACGTGGCAAGAACGTTTTTGGATTATTATCGGCTGAACTCCATGGTTGAAAAGGTGGCGATTCCCATGCCGAGACTGCGGTAAGTGGCAGAGCAAAGAGGTTTGCACTTAAGCTCTGCTCTACTGGCTGTGTTCAGGGACATCTTCCCTTCGCCTCTTGCTGACACTCAGCATCCCATCTGTGCAGCAGGAAAGATAATTCTGGCCCTGCCACAGAGATTTTATGGGGCAGAAGAGCATATTTCCTGAGCATAAAGAACGTATCATTAAGTGGTCAGACAGTGAGGGCATAGTCACATTTCTGGTTCCAACTTGGGAATCCACAGGGATGGGGCTTGCTGGGGAGCTGGGTTCAGTCATTATTCTAAATTAGTTTGGGTGTTTCTATATGCTGCCTCTCCTGATACCTCATTCTCTGAGGTTCCTATATGAACTTCTCTGATCCTTCAATTACCTCATCAAAAAGTATGGACAGCAGTCCTCAGATATAAGATGATTATGAGATATGTGTTAAAGCACCCAGCACAGTGCTGTCAGCACAGGATAGTCTCCTTCCCTCAAGATGTAAAGATTTGGGCTGGAGAGGACATACCCATGAGAAGTTCCACCTTGGGTCCTCTTCTGGGGCCAACTTGCAGGGCCACTGAGGAGAGAAGTTCAGGAGGTGAGCCTCCATCCTGTCTGAGGACTTGGTCAGAGCCTGAAGCACTGGGCACTTCGATGACCACTGGCTGTGAGCCCGCTAGCATTGGGACTGTGACATCCCATGGCATCTGGAATGTGCTGGCCCTGCCCTACCTCTTAGACTCATCTCCCACTCCCTCAGTGGTCCATCCTACTTGAAGGACATAACAACGTCCAGCTCCTGGCTCCTGCCAGACCATTCTTTCCACTGACCTTTGCCATGACCTTGCTCGTGTATGTGTGTGCCTCAGGGCCTTTGCACTGATGTACCTTCCTCCCTACCCCGTTAATAATAAAAGCAATATACATCACCATCATTTATTGTACAGAGTACTTTGTGTACATTGTACTATTTATTCTTCATAGACATTATATTTCCCTTCTTACAAATGAGGAAAAGGAGGCTCAGAAAGATGATGAGAAGGGCTGAGATGACAGAAGTCAAAGAGTTTTTGGGAGAGCCAGGGTTTGATCCTAGGCTTTTATCATTTGGAAGCTGAATTGGAGTCTAGCTAAGGTTCACTTCAAGTAGAAGTTTGTCAGCATGGGTTCAAATTCTGTCTCAGACTCATATGAGTTATAGGATCTTAGGCAAGTTTCTTGGCCTCTAGAAGCTTTTCTCTACTTATAAATGGGGATAATAACAACCATCTCTAAATATGGTTTTGTAGAATGGATACAAGCTTAGTACAGTGCCCAGCAGCTAGTAGAGGCTCAATACATGTTTTCACGTCCTCTAATTTTGGGGTTGCAATCTCAGACTTCCAACCAGCTCATCAAGGCCTAGGGCAAGTCCCTTGACTTGTTTGGTTGAGCAACGTCTCAGAGCCTGTGTTCTAAAATGCTGTGTGTCATACATTGCTAAGTCCCATGTCAGTAGAGTTCTTGTCCTTGTCTTCATGACAAGGACCTCTGATACCCTGTCTCAGATTGTTTCTAAATCATCTGGGGTCTTTGTGCTCATCGTGGCATATTAGAAACTCTTGCAGGAGAATCACGTCTATTTCTTATGCTCCTAAAGTGCCTGTCCTGCATTGGGCATACATGCATGTATACACTCCTTCATTCACTCAGGAAAAGCAACACTTTACACCATGCCCCTGATGGGGGAAGTTCTGGGATGAGTGGCTGATTAAAGCATAACCCCCGCCCCTGAGGAGCTTACCTCTAGAGGGAAGCACACGGTTCATTCTTAGAAGTTATTCTCGATTGGTTAAAGTTCTTAAACATGGTAGCTCCAAGATGGCCGATTAGACACAACTCCAGGGCAAAACACCCAGCAAGAGAGTTGCAGAAATCCAGAGAGATCTTCTAGCTCCATTGAGGTACCAGGTGCATTTCAATGGGTCTGGTCCGAGGGTGAGCAAAGCCCACTCAGGGCAGATCGATGGGGGGAGGGGTACTACTTCACCCAGAAAGTGCATCTGACCACCGAGTCTGACACTCCCCCTCTGGCTTTCCAGTCCAGATATAGCACTTCCCCCAAAGCCTCAGCAATACACAGAACAGGGGATCTTTGGCAGTCAAGCACCAGGAATTACAAGCACGGAATTGAATAAAAGCCTGCGGACTGAGCTATCTCCCCCTTCCCCCACCCGGAGAGAGAGTGAGCTATAAGTGGGAGCAGCTAGGCGGGCCCCTAACCCATGACCAGAGAGAGAGGAAGCTGAAAGGGGGAGATGGCCAGGTGCAGCTGGGCGGGTCCCTACCCTCCCCCACAAACTCCAGAGAGCTGAAGCTCTGACTCTAGTGGGTTGTGCAGCCAGTGCCACAGTCTGAGATAAAACCTGAATGATCCAGCCCAGTGGAGGAAGGGCACAACCCACCACTAGAAGGGTGGGACTGGGCTACATATTTTAACAAAAAACACAGGAAGCCTACGCAGCAATGGGACAGTGTTCTTGACAACCCAGCAGGGCCTACAGGTCAGTGGAAAAGGCGGGCCTAATCTCCCAGTATAAACAAAAAAGACACAGGAAGCTTCCCTAGTAACCTGAAGGAGTCCCTAGAAACCCAGAAGTGCCTCCACAGTCAGACAAGTGACCTCATCAAGCAGCTCCCTGCTAGGCAAATCCACAAAGATCAGGAAAAAACACCGTAAAAAAGATGAAACCATCAAAGACCAGAACACCTCTTCTCCTTCAAGGGATCACAACTCCTCAACAGGATCACAACTTGACCAAGGAGTGTGACGAATTGACAGAAACAGGCTTCAGAAGGTGGATAATAACAAACTTTTCTGAGCTAAAGGAACACGTTCTAACTCAATGCAAAGAAACCAAAAACCTTGGAAAAAGGGTAGACGAAATGCTAACTAGAATAAGCAGCTTAGAGAAGAACATAAACAACTTGATGGAGTTGAAAAACACAGCATGAGAACTATGTGAAGCAAACACAAGTTTTAATAGCTGAATCAAACAAGCAGAAGACAGGATATCAGAGACTGAAGATCAACTCAATGAAATAAAAAGAGAAGGCAAGACAATAGAAAAAAGAGTGAAAAGAAATGAACAAAGCCTCCAAGAAATATGGAATTATGTGAAAAGACCTAATCTACGCTTGATCGGTGTACCTGAATATGATGGGGAGAATGAATCCAAGCTGGAAAACACACTCCAGGATATTATCCAGTAGAACTTCCCAAGCCTAGCAAGGCAGTCCGAATTTCAAATTCAAGAAATACAGAGAACTCCACAAAGATATTCCTCAAGAAGAGCAACCCCAAGACACATAATCATCAGATTCACCAGGGTTGAAATGAAGGAAAAAATGCTAAGGGCAGCCAGAGAGAAAGGTCAGGTCATGCACAGAGGGAAGACAATGAGACTTACAGCAGATCTCTTGGCAGAAATTCTACAAGCCAGAAGAGAGTTGGGGCCAATATTCAACATCCTTAAAGTTGAAATTTGAAAAGCTTTCAACCCAGAATCTTATATCCAGCCAAACTAAGCTTCATAAGTGAAGGAGAAATAAAATCCTTTACAGACAAGCAATTATTGAGAGATTTTGTCACCACCAAACCTGCCCTACAAAAGCTCCTGAAAGAAACACTAAGCACAGAAAGGAACAGTCACTGCAAAACCAAACCAGTTGGCAAAGACCAAAAATGCAATAAAGAAAATGAGTTGGAGAACGATCCAAGATGGCCGATTGCTAACATCCCGGGATTGCAGCTCTCAGGGAAGGCGCGGAGAACTAGAGGACGCCACACTTTCAGACAAATTCTGGTCACTCACAGAGCAGAAGATCCCCCAGTGGAGGAAACACACGAGTGGCCAGTGCGACTCTCGTGGCTGGCGCAGCGGTTCTGCCGGCACCTTGGTGCGGCAGCTCTCAGAGCAGAGTAGACAGGTTCGGAGGACCCACCCACATGGGCCCCCAGCACAACACCAGAGCCCGGCACAGCGGTTGTGACGGCACCTCGGCGTGGCAGCGCTCGGCACAGAGTAAACGGGACCGGTTCCCCTTCTGACTGAGGTTTGGAGCCCTGGCAAGGCAGAGTCGCCTACTATGGACACAAGAAGGAAGCCCAACAGGAGAATCCTGGGCAGAAAAGCACCATCAGTTTTAACGCCGCTGCTCTGGCCCTGGGAACTAACAACCTGGATGCCCACTCAAGAGACCTAATCTGAAAGTTGGTAATTTCAAAGACGACAGGAGGATAAATTTACAATGATGGGAAGAAACCAGTGTAAAAAAGCTGAGAATACTCAAAGTCAGAACGCCTCTCCCTCTAAAGATGATCACAGTTCCACATCAACAACGGAAGAAGGCTTGATGGAGAACGAGCGCATCCTGATGACAGAATCACTCTTCAAGGAATGGATAATAACAAACTTCGGTGAGTTAAAAGAACATGTTGTAGCCCAACGTAAAGAAACTAGGAACTTTGAAAAAAGGTTTGATGAACTCCTATTGAGAATAGACAACTTAGAGAGGAGTATGAGTGAATTAATGGAACTGAAGAATACAATACAGGAACTCCGAGAAGTATGCACAGGTTTAAACACTCGAATTGTTCAAGCAGAAAAAGGGATATCAGAGGTCAAAGTCCAACTTAATGAAATAAAACATGAAGAAAAGATTAGAGAATAAAGGATAAAAAGGAATGAGCAAAGTCTCCAAGAAATGTGGGACTATGTGAAAAGACCAAATTTACGTTTGATAGGTGTACCTGAATGCGACGGAGAGAATGAATCCAAGCTGGAAAATACTCTTCAGGATATTATTCAGGAAAATTTTCCCAAACTAGCAAAGCAGGTCAACATTCAACCCCAGGTAATACAGAGAACGCCACAAAGATATTCCTCAAGAAGAGCAACCCCAAGGCACATAATCATTAGATTCACCAGGGTTGAAACGAAGGAGAGGATACTAAGGGCAGCCAGAGAGAAAG